AAGCTGGGGCTCGTGGGACTCCGCCTACGAGGCATGCTGATTTGGTAGATGACCCCGAAGCTCGGATGGGGGGGACATTCGATGTGCGAACGCGGTTCAGGATGGAACCGTCAAGCTCCGGGGTGAAGGACCAGGTGTCCCGCATCTCGGCCACGTGCTTGGACCGCTGCCTGAAGAGAGCATCCAAGTTCGTGAGTGATCCTGGGTCTGTACTGCAGAGGACCATTGACAACGCTGCCGAGGTAAGATCTACTTTGCATCACTTATTATTATTATTTTTTCTTTTCTCGATTCACAGCTTGATCTAACCATTGTGTTCCTTGACTTTCGCAGGCGTTTGTCGCTTCCATTCATTCAGCTATTATGGTCAAGGCTGAGCTGGATGGAAGGGAGGCTTTGGCAGCAAAGGAGAGGGAGAACTCTTCTGCTGCCTTAGAGGCTGCCACCACGCTGAAGGGCGAGCTGCTAAAGGCCCAAGGCGAGGTGGGTATCTTAAGGGCCGAGGTGGATGCCAAGGCCGAGCTTTTGAAGAAGGAGGGTGAAAAGCACAAGGCCCACCTCCGAGCAGCCCATGCGATTACCAAGGGGCTGGAGAAGGAGAAATTCCAACTCTTGAAGGAGAAGGACGATCTCGCTCAGGTCCTTGAGGGGAAGGATACCTCAATTGGGCGCCTCACAGCCGAGCTTAAAGACCTGAAGGAGCGCCTAACCAATGGATCTCTACTGGAGGAGTCGTTCAGGCAACACCTGGACTTCGATGGGTTTGCCAAGGACTTCAGCGACGCCGGCTTCAAGTTCCTGATGAAGGGCATTGCTGCCGACATGCCCCACCTTCAGATCGATCTCAGCAATCTCAAGAAGAAATATTCTGAGAAGTGGGCTTCTGGGCCTAATGGGACTCCTGGCCCCCAATCGCTGGTGGTCAAGTACGTCAGGGAGCTGGACTCTGACTACTCCGACATGGAAGAAGAGGATGCTCCTAGCCAAGAGCCCAATGAGATCGGCACAACGCAAGAGGAGGTTCCTTCCCAGCAGGATGGATCTCAGGAGGTTAACCTTCTAGGCTCCGAGGGCGAGCTGTCCTCCCACCTCGGAAGTAGCTGAAGCTCTCTTTCCTTCTATCTTTATATATTTTTTTGTAAGTCTTTGGGCAGAGCTGCAAGGTATATAAGCCTTAGCTCTGTCCTTTTTAATCAATGAAACTTCCATTTCTCCATTTCTGTCTGTTCTTTTACTACTTTTCCGTTTAAGAATCTTTTTAAACTTGCTTGTATAAGTTGGAACTTATGAAGGAACAAATTCATCTCGCACTTCTAACCCATAACTTTTGTAAGTTTAAAGGCTTGTGAGATAACTTTTTTCACATCGCACCTCTTTCCTAAGGTTTGAATTTGAGAGTCTCTTTTATTAATCTTTAATATTTCTCCTCGAACTCGGAAGTCCGAAAGAACACTAAGCAATTGGAACTTTCTACATCGCACATTTAACTTGTACGTTCAAAGGGTTGAATTTTGTGTCCATAGTTAATATTCACATCGCACCTCGAACCCGTAGGTTTAGAGGATTGAATTTCTTAAACCTTCAACATCGCACCTTTAACTTAAGCGTTAAAAGGATTGAATTTTGGTTCGTAATTGATTTTGACATCGCACCTCGAACCTGTGATCGAATTTGATCAATTTTTGCCCTTACTTTGCCGATTTTCAGTCTTATGGGAGTCCGTGGCCCCCATTTAATTTCTAATCGAACTCGGAGTTATGAAATTAAGTAACCCATTTATTGAAAGTTCCGCCCCTCGAAAATTTTTACAAGCCCATTTTGGGACTATTTTAACATTTCAGGGGTAATAGCGCTTCAAGTGCTCCGCGTTCCATGGATGCGCAAGCACTCTTCCTTCCAGGTCAGCCAGCATATAAGTTCCAGGTCGGACTATGCCTTTGACTTCGAATGGTCCCTCCCAACTTGGGTCAAAGGTGCCAACATGACTCTGAATTTTTCTTAAGACTAAATGTCCAATTTGGAAGCTTCGAGGTCAAACTCGGGCATTGTAATGTCTGGCCATTCTGTTCTGATACTCTGCTAAGCGCAGCTAAGCCATTTCCCTTTTCCCTTCCAATAAGTCCAGGTTAAGGAGTAGCTCTTCCTCGTTCTTTGTTGGCTCGTACTGTTCTACCCTGTCTGTTGGTATGCCGATCTCGACTGGTACAACAGCTTCGGAGCCAAAGGCTGGCGAGAACGGAGTTTCGCCAGTTGATTCTCTTGGGGTGGTTCGATATGACCACAAAACTTCAGGTAGCTCCTCGGCCCACCTTCCCTTTCTGGAGTCCAACCTTAGCTTGAGTCCTCGCTTTATGATCTTGTTTACCGCTTCGACTTGTCCATTCGCTTTTGGATGCGCAGGGGACGAACTGAGGTGGCTTATACCAAGTTTTCTGCAAAAGTCCTTGAACTTTGCATTGTCAAATTGTTTTCCGTTGTCCGTCACAATAGCATTGGGTATGCCAAAGCGGCACACAATGTTTGTCCATATGAATGACGTGACTCTGGACTCTGTGATGTGGGATAGTGCCTCGGCTTCAGCCCACTTAGTGAAGTAGTCCACAGCGACCACGGCGAACTTTGTTTGTCCTTTGCCTAGA